CCATTACCACCCATGTACAACATGCTCAACCCATCACTTAAGTCGCATCTTATTTCAGCAGAATCATATAGTACATCATATGCTTAAATCACAGGTGCCCTTAGTGTACCTTCGAGTTAAGTGACTACCCACACCAGATCACTTTTCACTTCCCTTGCTGTTAGAGCAGCTTATTTCATCTGATAAACTAAAGTTTTAACTGTGTAATAATATTTTCCTTTTCATCAAGATCTTTCAACGCACGCAAAGTTAAGTGTCAGTACTTGGTGTTTGTGGTGGTGTGTAGTTACTGCCTGGAAGGGGATGCTCCAGTGTGCATCTGTTTACAAAGATCCAGAAAGAAAACCCGGAATCAAGATTTTTCATGTATGACCGCACAGAGGACCATTTGGTTTGTGAACTTAAGTTATCCGAAAGTTCCAGTTTCCCCGATCGGGGTTGGAGTTACCCTACATACATCTACATTTTTAGACCATAATGAACCTTTAAGTAATTCTGTGTGTGTGTAATTACCTAAGTGTAGTTACAGGATGAGAGCTACGCTCGTGGTGTCCAGTCTTCCCAACACTGTTATATAACACTTTGAAACTACTGACGTCTTGGCCTCCACCACCTTCTCACCTAATGTGTGTGTGTAGTAATTAAATCTTAGCACAGTATACAGGTACACACTACAACCACCTGACTCCAGCAGCCATCACACCAGATGCCACAATATATATATATATATATATATATATATATATATATATATATATATATATATATATATATGTCGTACCTAGTAGCCAGAACTCACTTCTCAGCCTACTATTCAAGGCCCGATTTGCCTAATAAGCCAAGTTTTCCTGAATTAATATATTTACTATAATTTTTTTCTTATGAAATGATAAAGCAACCCTTTTCTCTATGTATGAGGTCAATTTTTTTTTATTGGAGTTAAAATTAACGTAGATATATGACCGAACCTAACCAACCCTACCTAACCTAACCTGACCTATATTTATAGGTAAGGTTAGGTTAGGTAGCCAAAAAAAGCTAGGTTAGGTTAGGTTAGGTAGGTTAGGTAGACGAAAAAACATTAATTCATGAAAACTTGGCTTATTAGGCAAATCGGGCCTTGAATAGTAGGCTGAGAAGTGCGTTCTGGCTATTAGGTACGACATATATATATATATATATATATATATATATATATATATATATATATATACACTACGCACATTATTATTACTTCAAATACTGCTAGCAATCATTAGATTCCCGCCATTAAATTTAAATGTCCTGAATTAATTAATTATCCTGAATATTATTAAAATATTAATTAATCTAAATATTAAATCCTGATTAATATTAAATCCCATTAAATCCTGAATATGAATCTTTTCCAGAAAATCATTTTCGAAAGAAACACGAGGTCACTGCACGATGAGTACATTCACAAACAGCAGTTGTGTTGTTAATGCCTGCCTGATGTTGTGAACACCATAACTCATTGTGTTCAATATCTGAACCCTGAACACCATTTTTATTAGTCACAATCATCTATGACACTATCACCACAGTATAATTGCAGTTACTTATTTCATTCATGATTATTAAGTGGTACTGTGGCCCCGACTTGCACAGCTGAGCTGAGAGCTCCAGCTGCATGCATCAGCATTGGTTGCTCTAGCAATACTGAAGCTATCACAGGAGGTATCTTATCTTGAGATGCTTCCGGGACTTAGTGGCCCTGTGGCCTGGTTGACAGTGCCAGGAGGAATGCAGATTTTTTTTATCATGATGGTATCTGTTTACCAAGAGTCCTGAGGAACAGGATGCGAGCCAGTGTACCCATGGGCATTTTGAGTCTTACGATGTACTAACGATATGTAGGGTGGTACACCCTCTTTTTTCCCCACATCACAGGTAGTGCCATACACTGGATAAAGTGCCATCTTTCTACTTTGCCAGCAATTTATTTTGAGTACAATATCACCAGTCACACCTAGTTGAAAGATTTGCAAATAACTGTCATTCTAATTTTGTTCCACACAATATATAACTATATATTTTTATGCACCAACATGATCAGCCGATGGCACCACCTGATTCACCATAATGTATAATATATAATATGCCTATCTCCGTGGGCACAATATTGCTATTATCAGAATCCTGCTCACTAAATCCAGAATATGAATTCATTTGCACAAGTTTATTTTCTAAAGGAATATGCATAATTTCAAGATGCTTAGATACACCAATGTATGTTAGTACAATGTGGGTAGCTGCATCGTGCCAATCAATCGGCATTGTGTTCACCGACAACTAAATATTAGAGTACAGAGCCCATCAGTCGGGATCCTCTATGAATCTATCATTGCAAAATAATTGTAATTATTTATTCATTCCATCATTTTTAAGTGATGCTGTGGACAAGTTGAGCAGACGTGCTGTTAACTCGTGCTACAAGCCCTTGGTTGGTCACTCTGTTCCGAGGCCTTCACACCCAGAAATGGCGTCTACGATATTTTTTCAAAATGGTGTCTGTCTACTGGAAGCCAATGTGAGCCCCATGTACCCACGTTTGAAAATCTTACAATGTACCCTAATACTTTCCCGGATGGGAAGCACACGTTTGTAGATAATTAGCAACCACGTCTCTTGATGGAATGTGCGGCAGAGAGGTTAATCTCCCAGAAGGATGACAAAAGTTAATTCCAGAGCTTCAAAACCTCTCATGAAGAGATCAATAAAGCTTAATTTACATTTTCTAAAAATGTGAACTAGGACAAAACACACACAAAAAAAAAAAGGTTAATTACCCTTTTAAGTGTAATTATCATACATTGATTCCTCCACAGTAATTCTAACTTAGTTATCACCCAGTTTTTTAAACGCAAATATCTTCATAAAAGAGCTACAGTACGCGGGGTTATGTTATAGATGCCCATTTTAATGTTTTTTAGGCAACATAACTAGTAAATAGCAGCAGGAGAGGGTTCCAAGATACAGCTGTGTCAGACACACATTTACATATAATACAGGTGTACATATTACACTAATATTATGCAGCATTAAACTGCATTTGCCAATCTTTTGACCATTTCAAAACCCTATTTAGATAGACTAAGTGATAGCGAGTCATCCGTGTTTATTTCCCTACGGATTTTTGTATCGGCAAATTTGCAAATGTTGCTATTCAAACCTGAATCTAAATCATTTATATATATTATAAACAGAGGTCCCAGGACAGAGCCTTGAGGCACTCCACTTACAACATTTTCCCACTGACAACCTCATTTAACATACTTTTCTTTGGTATATCTATGCCCTAATCCAACTTAATATAGCACCCCCAATACCATGAGCCTGTATCTTTTTAATCGAGCCTTGTTTTTAAGACATGGGATCGTAGGATTGTTTCAACCACCGGTTCAATGACATACGTTAGGAATAAATTAGAACCACCTCACACGAGTCAATAGGTCTTATGTGGGTTTTCTATAATATCTTCAGTAAAACAAATATCAGTACCCCATAACCAGTCATTTAGGGACATGTCAGTTTGTATTAGACTATTTACTGAAGGATTTTAAAACCTAACCCAGTCAAGACAATATTAGGGGTTTGGAACTTTGAAACAAATTGTTGAAATACATTATTTGATCGTAACCCCTTTTAGGACATTTTGTAAACAATGATTCATTAATCAAATTCTAAACCTTAAGTAATTGAAAATTCTTTTAAATAAAAATTTTGAATCTGGAAAATTTTGGAGTGATTAAGAACATTTTACAGAGGTTGCAGCCCTGAAGCAAGACCCACACATGGTTAGAAATCACATTTTCAAACATGTTGGAAACTTTTCCAGCAAGGCCCTAAGAAAACTTTTCACCAGTCATCAGAAGTACAAAAACTTTCTTGCTGAGGGGAAAGAAACTATCAGGAGAAAGCACCAAGCCACTAGGAATATATAGCACCGGGAAGGGGTCAGGATAAGGATCTGGGATGGGACGGGGGGGAAGGAACGGTGGCCAATCACTTGGACGATCGGGGATTGAACACCGATCTGCATGAAGCGAGACCGTCGCTCTACCGTCCACCCCAAGTGGTTGGGCACTTTCTTGCCAATTTCAACCGAAGTGTTAGCTTAAAATCTGTCGTGCTGTTACCCTCATGAATATCACAGTACCATGTACCATGCCGCTGCCTGGGTACCCTACTCACCATACATTGTACCACAATACCCCTCCCAAAACCCCTAAACATAGTGTACCACAATGCCACCAAAGTTATCCAAAATCCCAAGGTGTTGAGGGCCCAGGCAAGCCTGGCGGGGCCCTAGAGAAGCCTACCCGGCCCTAGGGATGCCTGGCGGGATCTGAGGAAGCCTAGCTGGTCCTAGAGAAGCCTAAGAAAGCCTTTCGGGGCCCTAGAGAAGACTAGTGGGCCCTAGGGATGCCTGGCGGGCCCTAGGGATGCCTGGCGGGCCCTAGGGATGCCTGGGAGGACCTGAGGAAGCCTAGCTGGTCCTAGAGAAGCTTGGCGAAGCTTAAGGAAGCCTCTCGGTGCCCTAGAGAAGCCTAGCGGGGCCTAGAGAAGTCTAGCGGGCCCTAGGGATGCCTGGCGGGACCTGAGGAAGCCTAGCTGGTCCTAGATAAGCCTGACGAAACCTAAGGAAGCCTTTCGGCCCCTAGAGAAGCCTCTCGGTGCCCTAGAGAAGCCTGGAGGGACCCGGGGAAGCCTGGCGGTAAATCTCGGGTGTGTGTGTGGGGGGGGGGTCATTAACTCCTCGCCACGCAGCCAGTATCAACAACCTCATTAACCTTCAATAACCCCTAACAAAGACCAAACTAGAGAACGACGGGGACGCAGCGGCCGGGGCTAGAGAGCCACAAGGGAGGAGGAGCAGTCGAGGGCGTCCACCTCCGGCAGGAGGAAGAGAGGAGAGGAAGAGAGAGAGAGAGAGAGCAGCAGCAGCGGCGGCGGCCAAGACTCCTGCAGTCACTTACTTCTCCAGTCTGATCTTCTTGAGGGCCACGATCCGCCTCGTGACCCGGTCCTGGGCCTTGTAGACCACGCCGTAGGTGCCCTCGCCGATCTTCTCGATCTTCTCGTAGTTGTGGAGGGACATGGCGCGTGCGTGGCGTGGCGTGGAGGGGGTAGGGCGTGGGGGAGGAGGAAGGCGCGTGATGGCGTCCCAAGGTTTCCCGCGCTCAACTTCGCAATGCGTTTTGTGCCCAGGAAGTGATGCTACGCTCGACAACCTTCCCGCTCTATTCTTTCCTCTCGCTCTTTCCGGGTCTTTTCTCCCCTTTTATCTAATCTATTTTATCCCCACGATTTTTTTGATTTGTTTTCTATACACAAAAATATATTTTTGTATATATATAAATAGGTTTGTTTTTTTCGAGGTTATATTTTGGCCATTTTCTGTGATGGCGAGGGAGGGTAGACTTGTCTAGTGGCGAGGACTCCCACTCATTATAAACTATTTTATTTCTCTCGATCAGAAATTGTGGCCAAATATCACCACTTTGTTACTTGTAGGTTGTAAATGTTGGTGACTAACATTTCCACCGCTGCCTATGATGTATGGGAGGAAGGAGGTTGGTGTACATTATGAACATATAAATTATGACACTAGCTCTCCACTTACTGCATTTAATAGCTTCTTTTCATTAATTTTTATTAATTTCATCAAAATAATCCCAGAAACCCAGACATGTATTACTGCATATCTCACTGGCAGCTATCCTAACTCCCTTCTTTTACTAGTCAGCCCTACAGACATTATTTCCATTATTCACTCTTAAACCAAAGCTGAGAACATTAGTGAAATACCAACATTTTTTTTTATATTTATTTATATATACAAGAGTTGTTACATTCTTGTACTATGGTATATAAGAGTGCCGTTCTTGCCCTTACATCACCGGGAGCCGGTCGGCCGAGCGGACAGCACGCTGGTCTTCTGATCCTGTGGTCCTGGGTTCGATCCCGGGCGCCGGCGAGAAACAATGGGCAGAGTTTCTTTCACCCTATGCCTCTGTTACCTAGCAGTAAAATAGGTACCTGGGTGTTAGTCAGCTGTCAGACACTAAAGCCCCGAAATCATCTCAAGATAACCCATAACTCTGTTATTCAACAAATCTCTAGTGTCATACTTTTCCTGATATCCTTAAAAAAAGTGGTGCAGTGGTAAAGCCCTCACCAGGTGCTTCGCAAATACTTTAGCCTGGGTTCGAATCCTGGCCGGGGAGGATTGACTGGGCGCCAATCCTTAACTGTAGCCTGAATATGTGTCATGCTGATACTGTGAACCTTAAATATGTGTCATGCTGATACTGTGTACCTTAAATATGTGTCATGCTGATACTGTGAACCTTAAATATGTGTCATGCTGATACTGTGAACCTTAAATATGTGTCATGCTGATACTGTGAACCTTAAATATGTGTCATGCTGATACTGTGAACCTTAAATATGTGTCATGCTGATACTGTGAACCTTAAATATGTGTCATGCTGATACTGTGAACCTTAAATATGTGTCCTGTTGATACTGTGAACCTTAAATATGTCATGCTGATACTGTGAACCTTAAATATGTCATGCTGATACTGTGAACCTTAAATATGTGTCATGCTGACACTGTGAACCTTAAATATGTGTCATGCTGATATTGTGAACCTTAAATATGTGTCCAGCTGTTACTGTGAGCATTAAATATCTACTATGCTGTTACTGTGAACATTAAATATCTACTATGCTGTTACTGTGAACATTAAATATCTACTATGCTGTTACTGTGAGCATTAAATATCTACTATGCTGTTACTGTGAACATTAAATATCTACTATGCTGTTACTGTGAACATTAAATATCTACTATGCTGTTACTGTGAACATTAAATATCTACTATGCTGTTACTGTGAGCATTAAATGCTGTTACTGTGAACATTAAATATCTACTATGCTGTTACTGTGAACATTAAATATCTACTATGCTGTTACTGTGAGCATTAAATATCTACTATGCTGTTACTGTGAACATTAAATATCTACTATGCTGTTACTGTGAACATTAAATATCTACTATGCTGTTACTGTGAGCATTAAATATCTACTATGCTGTTACTGTGAGCATTAAATATCTACTATGCTGTTACTGTGAGCATTAAATATCTACTATGCTGTTACTGTGAACATTAAATATCTACTATGCTGTTACTGTGAACATTAAATATCTACTATGCTGTTACTGAAAACATTAAATATCTGTTCTGCTGATAAAATAGTCTGTAATATAAAATAGGCTACGTTTTTCTTCATTAAGTATCCTTTAAATTTGTAAATAATTTGCAAAATTTCATGAACAGTTCGTATGTCACCTTACTCCTCGTTTAGAGTTGTTACCCATTAAATCTAGCTGCTGTGGAGAAGGTGCAACACCGGGCAATAAAAGTTATTCCAGAGCTAAGTCACCCCCCGTATCAGGAACGGTTGAAGGGCCACAGGGCTAACAACACTGCCAACCAGGCCTGGCAGGGCTAGTCTCATTGAAACTTTTAAAATACTGAACAAGTTAGAGGATGCTGACCCACAGAATTTCTTCAAAAGATCAGATGTAAAGATCAAAAGATCAGATCAATCAGAGCTTTAATATACCAATGTGCTTTAATATACTTACTAATCTCTCTCATCTCATTTTTTTTCCTGTAATGTATCTGTTATCATTTTATTAATTCTGCTAGAATTTACCTACTTAAAATTATCTGTTAGATTAAGGACCTCTGCCCGAAACGCTGCGCGTACTAGTGGCTTTACAAGATTGTAAATACTATGCTATGTATTCTCACAAACCCAATGTACCTTCTTGTATATAAATAAATAAATAAATAAATAATAAATGTAACACAAACAAGGAGCAACGGTTTCAAGTCACATTGTAGGACTGAGAACAGAAGTTTTGTCACCCACAGGGTTATAAACCCACGGAACCGCCTACCCGCCGAAACCGTATATGCAAAAAAACTGTTAACATCTTTAAATCCAGCTGGAAAAAAATCATAAGGGCAAATGGAGGGACCTTTGACAAGCCGCTGGATTCCTACTATTTCTACCCATACTGGGGGGAGCAGGAACTATTTCTACCCCATACTGGGGGAGCTGGAACTATTTCTACCCCATACTGAGGGAGCTGGAACTATTTCTACTCCATACTGGAGGAGCTGGAACTATTTCTGCCCATACTGGGGGGAGCAGGAACTATTTCTACCCCATACTGGGGGAGCTGGAACTATTTCTACCTATACTGGAGGAGCTGGAACTATTTCTACCTATACTGGAGGAGCTGGAACTATTTCTACCTATACTGGAGGAGCTGGAACTATTTCTACCCCATACTGAGGGAGCTGGAACTATTTCTACCCCATACTGAGGGAGCTGGAACTATTTCTACCCCATACTGAGGGAGCTGGAACTATTTCTACTCCATACTGGAGGAGCTGGAACTATTTCTGCCCATACTGGGGGAGCTGGAACTATTTCTACCCATACTGAGGGAGCTGGAACTATTTCTACCCATACTGAGGGAGCTGGAACTATTTGTACCCCATACTGGGGGAGCTGGAACTATTTCTACCCCATACTGGGGGAGCTGGAACTATTTCTACCCATACTGAGGGAGCTGGAACTATTTGTACCCCATACTGGGGGAGCTGGAACTATTTCTACCCCATACTGGGGGAGCTGGAACTATTTCTATCCATACTGGGGGAGCTGGAACTATTTCTACCCATACTGGGGGAGCTGGAACTATTTCTACCCCATACTGGGGGAGCTGGAACTATTTCTACCCATACTGGGGGAGCTGGAACTATTTCTATCCATACTGGGGGAGCTGGAACTATTTCTACCCCATACTGGGGGAGCTGGAACTATTTCTATCCATACTGAGGGAGCTGGAACTATTTCTACCCCATACTGGGGGAGCTGGAACTATTTCTATCCATACTGGGGGAGCTGGAACTATTTCTACCCATACTGAGGGAGCTGGAACTATTTCTACCCCATACTGGGGGAGCTGGAACTATTTCTATCCATACTGGGGGAGCTGGAACTATTTCTACCCAAACTGAGGGAGCTGGAACTATTTGTACCCATACTGGGGGAGCTGGAACTATTTCTACCCCATACTGGGGGAGCTGGAACTATTTCTATCCATACTGAGGGAGCTGGAACTATTTCTATCCATACTGGGGGAGCTGGAACTATTTCTAGCTGGAACTATTTCTACCCATACTGAGGGAGCTGGAACTATTTCTACCCCATACTGGGGGAGCTGGAACTATTTCTATCCATACTGGGGGAGCTGGAACTATTTCTACCCAAACTGGGGGAGCTGGAACTATTTCTACCCCATACTGGGGGAGCTGGAACTATTTCTATCCATACTGGGGGAGCTGGAACTATTTCTACCCATTATAATCAGCAAATATGTAGGTTATATATACATCAATCATATGTGGTAAATATTTTATTTATCTCTGTTACACAAATTTTCAGTAAAAAAGAAAACTTCCTTGTTAATGACCAAATGTTCTTAAAAACTAATATCCTAATGTACATTTCTTTAAACTGCTTTAGAATGTAACAATGACAGACAAAAAAAAAGGTATAAAATTACAGAAGCAATTTCGTAAAACCATGAAGTTGGGCTCTGATTGTCGGTCTGGAGTAGCCTCTCCAGGGAAGCAAAGCCAGGGGGGTAGGTTGATATGGGGGAGAAGCTGTTACCCATGCAGCAGGTTTATCAATGCCCTCCTTATTGGACCCCACTCATCAGGGTGGATCTCACTCATCCCCCACAGATCGATTGACACTGTAAATCACTGACGACTGAATATTTGTATACTAAACATTTTTCCTCCGAGACAAAATAATCATTTTCTGTGTAATTAAAACAAAGTTTAGGACAATTTTGTCAGAATTCCATGACAGGAAGATCACAGTGTTAGTGCCACAAGGCACGGATGACAGGACAGTAAGATCAGTGTTAGTGCCACAAGGCACGGATGACAGGACAGTAAGATCAGTGTTAGTGCCACAAGGCATGGATGACAGGACAGTAAGATCAGTGTTAGTGCCACAAGGCACGGATGACAGGACAGTAAGATCACAGTGTTAGTGCCACAAGACATGGATGACAGGACAGTAAGATTAGTGTTAGTGCCACAAGACATGGATGACAGGACAGTAAGATCACAGTGTTAGTGCCACAAGACATGGATGACAGGACAGTAAGATCACTGATAGTGCCACAAGGCACGGATGACAGGACAGGAAGATCACAGTGTTAGTGCCACAAGGCACGGATGACAGGACAGGAAGATCACAGTGTTAGTGCCACAAGGCACGGATGACAGGACAGTAAGATCACAGTGTTAGTGCCACAAGCCACGGATGACAGGACAGGAAGATCACAGTGTTAGTGCCACAAGGCACGGATGACAGGACAGGAAGATCACAGTGTTAGTGCCACAAGGCACGGATGACAGGACAGTAAGATCAGTGTTAGTGCCATAAGGCATGGATGACAGGACAGTAAGATCAGTGTTAGTGCCACAAGCCACGGATGACAGGACAGTAAGATTAGTGTTAGTGCCACAAGGCACGGATGACAGGACAGTAAGATCAGTGTTAGTGCCAGAAGGCATGGATGACAGGACAGTAAGATCACAGTGTTAGTGCCACAAGGCATGGATGACAGGACAGTAAGATCACAGTGTTAGTGCCACAAGGCATGGATGACAGGACAGTAAGATCAGTGTTAGTGCCACAAGGCATGGATGACAGGACAGTAAGATCACTGATAGTGTCACAAGGCATGGATGACAAGACAGTAAGATCACTGATAGTGTCACAAGGCATGGATGACAAGACAGTAAGGCATAAAACATCATCAACACTCCACTTAGAAACTACTACATCCCACAGCAAAATATCACCGACACTTCCATAACAAAGACCGTAGCAACAGGAACCCCTCAATGGAAAAATACGCCACTGCCACAGGAACCACTGTAGCCAAGAGCACCTTACCCCCTTTCCCGGTTCTACAGCCGGCAAGGCCTACTGGCCCCTATAACTGTGAAGAGCGCTGAGGATGATCAACCTAGCAGCCTGAGAGGTGAGGTGGGCGTCGTCGCGGGAACCAAGTCCTGGATTGACCTCCACGAGGTCCAGAGCCCTGAGGTAGCCAGTCTGGTGAACCGCCTCGGCGATCTGCAGCCCCTCCCTCAGGTGTAGTCCGCCTCGCACTGTGGAAGATTGACTGTTGAAGATTAAGCCAGCCCAAGAGGTGGCACGGGCACGGGCACGAATAGCCCGTAAACTGTGGAAGATGTGTACCAGGTCTTTATATGACGAGCGAGTCTCCGGGACAAGCCAGTCTCCGGGACAAGCGAGTCTCCGGGACAAGCGAGTCTCCGGGACAAGCGAGTCTCCGGGACAAGCGAGTCTCCGGGACAAGCGAGTCTCCGGGACAAGCCAGTCTCCGGGACAAGCGAGTCTCCGGGACAAGCGAGTCTCCGGGACAAGCCAGTCTCCGGGACAAGCGAGTCTCCGGGACAAGCCAGTCTCCGGGACAAGCCAGTCTCCGGGACAAGCCAGTCTCCGGGACAAGCGAGTCTCCGGGACAAGCGAGTCTCCGGGACAAGCGAGTCTCCGGGACAAGCGAGTCTCCGGGACAAGCGAGTCTCCGAAACAAGCGAGTCTCCAGGACAAGCGAGTCTCTGGGACAAGCGAGTCTCCGAAACAAGCGAGTCTCCGGGACAAGCGAGTCTCCGGGACAAGCGAGTCTCCGGGACAAGCCAGTCTCCGGGACAAGCGAGTCTCCGAAACAAGCCAGTCTCTGGGACATTGGGGGAAAACAGGAGCAAAGAACACAGTGAGGGACTCACCTGGAGTGCCAGTGCTGGGTGCCTCGTGGGGGTCGAGGGAGTCGATGTCGAAGGAGACGTGGAGGGGTCGCGTGGCCTGCGGCTTGAGGTGCTCAAGAGATCGGCAGATGACCTTATCGAGCCCCAAACTGTCCACCTCTCGCATGCCGTACGCCATGATGTTCAGCTCCTGAAGCATCTTCCTGCACCCACCATGTATAATCATTATATTCAACGAATTATATTAATAATAATGCTAAGAATAAGTCACAACAACCAAGCCGAACATTGATACCAAACCCCTAAAATATAAGAAGGCTAGAAAGGATATTTCAGTCCGTCTTGAACCTTTATCAAGTCCAGGACGGACCGAAATGTGTATATTATTATTTATTTATATATGAAAGAGTTCTTACATTCTTGTAAAGCCATTAGCACGCAAAGCGTTTCGAACAGGTCCTTAATCCTAATTTCCCCCCCGAAATACAACCCACCAAATCATTTAACAATCATTAACAAAAGATTGTAAATCAATTTTTATTCAAGGGAGATTCTGTTCATAGAGTAAATGTCAATGGGGATTTTGTTATGGGTAGTGGAATCTGTGAGAATAAACCCAATAATTCCCCACCCCCAATTGTTCCCGTGTCCAGTAATTAATGGTCAGTTATATCCCTTAATAGGCTAATCTGGGATCAGTTATATCCCTTAATAGGCTAATCTGGGATCAGTTATATCCCTTAATAGGCTAATCTGGGATCAGTTATATCCCTTAATAGGTTAATTTGGGATCAGTTATATCCCTTAATAGGCTAATCTGGGATCAGTTATATCCCTTAATAGGTTAATATGGGATCAGTTATATCCCTTAATAGGTTAATTTGGGATCAGTTATATCCCTTAATAGGTTAATTTGGGATCAGTTATATCCCTTAATAGGCTACTTTGGGATCAGTTATATCCCTTAATAGGTTAATTTGGGATCAGTTATATCCCTTAATAGGTTAATTTGGGATCAGTTATATCCCTTAATAGGCTACTTTGGGATCAGTTATATCCCTTAATAGGTTAATTTGGGATCAGTTATATCCATTAATAGGCTAATCTGGGATCAGTTATATCCCTTAATAGGTTAATTTGGGATCAGTTATATCCCTTAATAGGCTAATTTGGGATCAGTTATATCCCTTAATAGGCTACTTTGGGATCAGTTATATCCCTTAATAGGCTACTTTGGGATCAGTTATATCCCTTAATAGGCTAATTTGGGATCAGTTATATCCCTTAATAGGCTAATTTGGGATCAGTTATATCCCTTAATAGGCTACTTTAGGATCAGTTATATCCCTTAATAGGCTACTTTGGGATCAGTTATATCCCTTAATAGGTTAATTTGGGATCAGTTATATCCCTTAATAGGTTAATATGGGATCAGTTATACCCCTTAATAGGCTACTTTAGGATCAGTTATATCCCTTAATAGGCTACTTTGGGATCAGTTATATCCCTTAATAGGCTAATCTGCGATCAATTATATCCCTTAATAAGCTAATTTGGGATCAGTTATATCCCTTAATAGGCTAATCTGGGATCAGTTATATCCCTTAATAGGCTACTTTAGGATCAGTTATATCCCTTAATAGGCTAATCAGTGGCTACTTTGATCAGTTATATCCCTTAATAGGCTAATTTAGGATCAGTTATATCCCTTAATAGGCTAATCTGGGATCAATTATATCCCTTAATAAGCTAGGCTACTTTAGGATCAGTTATATCCCTTAATAGGCTACTTTATCAGTTATATCCCTTAATAGGCTAATCTGATCAATTATATCCCTTAATAGGCTACTTTGGGATCAGTTATATCCCTTAATAGGCTAATCTGGGATCAATTATATCCCTTAATAATAGGCTACTTTAGGATCAGTTATATCCCTTAATAGGCTAATCTGGGATCAATTATATCCCTTAATAGGCTACTTCGGGAGTACTTTTCCATGGGGGCCGGAGCCTAGTACACCTCAGCTGGCGGGAGTAATCAATAGATACATTGTAGGTATTAACTAGTATAATTAACTATTATCACTACCATTTACAGCCTAGTGGTTACCTACTGGTTAATGTAACCACTTGTAGACGTTATTATCAAGGTAGCCTAGTATATGTTCTCACACCAGTTGTGTGTATTTCAATATGTGTGTGTTTACTAGTTGTGTTTTTACGGGGGTTGAGCTTTGCTCTTTCGGCCCGCCTCTCAACTGTCAATCAACTGTTTACTAACTACTACTTTTTTTTTTTTTTTTTTTTTTTTTTTTTTTTTTCCCCACACCACACACACACACACACCCCAGGAAGCAGCCCGTGACAGCTGACTAACTCCCAGGTACCTATTTACTGCTAGGTAACAGGGGCATTCAGGGTGAAAGAAACTTTGCCCATTTGTTTCTGCCTCGTGCGGGAATCGAACCCGCGCCACAGAATTACGAATCCTGCGCGCTATCCACCAGGCTGCGAGGCCCCTGTGTGTGTGTGTGTGTGTGTGTGTGTGTGTGTGTGTGTGTGTGTGTGTGTGTGTGTGTGTGTGTGTGTAATATATAATATATGATTTCACTTGCTCAAATTATACATATCAAAATGTGCAAATATAAGTTTAAAAATCCGCCCTTTATAGAACTGGAGGTAGTCAGAATTCCATATATAGACACACACAAGTGTATATTAAGTATAAGTGTTACCCCCAATAAATTCAAATTAAGTCTTTATAACAAGTTATGTCAAAACGCTATACAATTACTGGGTTTATACAATACAGTATACAAATACAGTACTCTACTTTCTAGATACCTCCTGTAATATTAATCCTTTGCATAACTTGGATAAATTTTAATTATTGCATAATGAATTCACATTAATGTGTTGTATCAATGGAAAAAAAATCAGTGCTTGAGGGCACCCAGAGCATAGATTCGAATCCTTCTCATAGCTCCTACAGCTTTTCTATTAATTGTCATAATGGGAGACGTGTACAATGTGTAGATGAAGGTATACTAGAGGTATGTATAACTTGAGTATATTGTATACTTACTTCTCACCCTCGTCCACGTCCCGGAGGCCAATATACACAAGGTGCTCCCCACGCAGCCTGATCAATAATACACATCAGTATACAAGAGATAATAATTGCAGGTATTAATGACGCTATGTAAAAGACACATCAAACACTTCATGTAGCATACATAGATCTGTGTATCTATGTATTTTACGTATCTAGCTTAGCCTAGCATTTTAAAAGCATTACAATCACCTTCTGTGGTTGATTGTTCAATAAATCCCAGAACTGTATGTTTGATAAATCTCTCACCCTGTCCATGGAGGACAGAAGAAAATGTATATATGCTGGTTAGCATTGTAAATGTGTGGCCACGTCTGTGGTAGAAAATAATAATAATAATAAAAACTGACAAGATTTATTAACTGCAAATCATTAATTTTGTCAATAACATAAATGTATGAATAACTATAACATGAATATGTATGAATAACATGAGTATGTATGAATAACTGAAAAGTTAGTCATATAATATATTCTATAACTTTTCAATCATCTTGAAAAGTTGATTGAGATTAGCCCGAAGCGTCTGGCCTTCAGCCTTGGACTGAAACACACACAGATTGATTGATGAAGATTAAGCCACCCAAGAGGTGGCACGGGCATGAATAGCCCGTAAGTGGTGGCCCTTTCGAGCCATTACCAGTATCAAAAGATGATACTGGAGATCTGTGGAGGCGCAACTGCACCCTGCGTGACGGGAGATGTCTCCCGGACCAAGTGGTGACCAAATGGTGAACACACACACACTTTTACATAGATTTATACATGATAGGATATAGAGGTGAGGTGGTCTGATACTGGCACCAGTGAGGTTATCCAATCAACTCTCGACTTGACACTAAAAAATACAACCGATTTGGCATAAAAATGCATAGAAACATTAACATTACTGTCCATTCATCGGCTACTATATACTGACCTAGGTTGAGGCCACTTGTCAGGCAGGCGGTTGACTCTCGAAGCCAGCTCGAGCAGCAGGTAAGATACCGGCATGCCATGCATGTTACCCGAGGGAGAGGTGGCCCCCGTGTTCAGGTCCGCGTGAGCGTCCACCCACAGCAACACCACCTGGTACAACACAGCCTACAGTTAATGGCGGACTCACAGTAATGCCAGGGTAGCGTCATGTCACTCCTTGTTTACTGTATAGCCACAAAACAAATCCATTTCAGCCACTCGCCCCTTCACGTACTCCACCTGTCTAACCACTTGGACTGGACGGTAGAGCGACGGTCTCGCTTCGTGTAGGTCTGCGTTCAATCTCCGACCGTCCACAAGTGGTTGGGCACCATTCCTTCCCCCCGTCCCATCCCAAATCCTTATCCTGACCCCTTCCCAGTGGTATATAGTCGCAATGGCTTGGCGCTTTCCCTTGATAATTTCCCCCCTTCCCTCCACCTGGATAGTTATCTAGATATTTGTGATGCTTTGAAAGCGTATTAAGGTTCCAGTAACAGTCTATTTGTAAACTGCCAAGTGAACCTTTGTCCTAAACACAGCTTATTCTCAAGTTATAACTTTAATGTACTCAAAATCTAAATGTACAAAAAATAGAAAAAAGTGTATGCTGAAAACGTTTTCTTTGAAGGTTTTCTGTAAATAGAATTCTCGGGTACACTTTAATAGTTATCGAATTCCACATTTTAACATTATCGTCAATAATACACCGTATAAACGTAAGCAAATGTAATGAAACTTAACCTAAAGTAACCTTAACCTAACCAGGGATAGAGAGCAGATAATAGCATTAGTTACGTAAGCGTAGCTGGTGTCGAGGACTGGCCTGGAACACCCCCACTCACCCACCTGGTGTCGAGGACTGGCCTGGAACACCCCCACTCACCCACCTGGTGTCGAGGACTGGTCTGTAACACCCCCACTCGACTGGTCTGTAACACCCCCACTGGTGTCGAGGACTGGTCTGGAACACCCCCACCTGGTGTCGAGGACTGGTCTGTACCCACCCACCTGGTGTCGAGGACTGGCCTGGAACACCCCAAGGACTGGTCTGTAACACCCCCACCTGGTGTCGAGGACTGGCCTGGAACACCCCCACTCACCCACCTGGTGTCGAGGACTGGCCTGGAACACCCCCACTCACCCACCTGGTGTCGAGGACTGGTCTGTAACACCCCCACTCACCCACCTGGTGTCGAGGACTGGCCTGTAACACCCCCACTCACCCACCTGGTGTCGAGGACTGGCCTGGAACACCCCCACTCACCCACCTGGTGTCGAGGACTGGCCTGGAACACCCCCACCTGGTGTCGAGGACTGGCCTGGAACACCCCCACTCACCCACCTGGTGTCGAGGACTGGCCTGGAACACCCCCACTCACCCACCTGGTGTCGAGGACTGGCCTGGAACACCCCCACCTGGTGTCGAGGACTGGCCTGGAACACCCCCACCTGGTGTCGAGGACTGGCCTGGAACACCCCCACCTGGTGTCGAGGACTGGCCTGGAACACCCCAACTCACCCACCTGGTGTCGAGGACTGGCCTGGAACACCCCAACTCACCCACCTGGTGTCGAGGACTGGCCTGGAACACCCCAACTCACCCACCTGGTGTCGAGGACTGGCCTGGAACACCCCAACTCACCCACCTGGTGTCGAGGACTGGCCTGGAACACCCCAACTCACCCACCTGGTGTCGAGGACTGGCCTGGAACACCCCAACTCACCCACCTGGTGTCGAGGACTGGCCTGGAACACCCCAACTCACCCACCTGGTGTCGAGGACTGGCCTGGAACACCCCAACTCACCCACCTGGTGTCGAGGACTGGCCCCAGCGTGGCCAGTGACGGTGCCAATGCCTATGGAGTGGTCACCGCCGAGGGTGAGACAGACCCCGCCTTCCTTGATGACCTTAGTGACGGAGGCGGCCAGGCGACGGTTGTAGTCGAGGACGGCGGCGTGGTTGTGCTCCCCGTTGGGGCCCGGCTGGTAGCTCTCCCTGGGTACCATCTCCACCTGCCCGTAGTCCCGCACCTCGCTCCCTGCAACATACAAGTACCTTCCCCTCTCAGTCGAGCATGCGCACGGCTCCTGTGCCAGGTAAGTCCACTACGGGCTCACCATAGCCCGTGCTACTTGCCCCGCTCCTGTGCCAGGTAAGTCCACTACGGGCTCACCATAGCCCGTGCTACTTGCCCCGCTCCTGTGCCAGGTAAGTTCACTACGGGCTCACCATAGCCCGTGCTACTTGCCCCGCTCCTGTGCCAGGTAAGTCCACTACGGGCTCACCATAGCCCGTGCCCGGGCTCACCATAGCGCCCCGCTCCTGTGCCAGGTAAGTTCACTACGGGCTCACCATAGCCCGTGCTACTTGCCCCGCTCCTGTGCCAGGTAAGTCCACTACGGGCTCACCCTAGCCCGTGCTACTTGCCCCGCTCCTGTGCCAGGTAAGTCCACTACGGGCTCACCATAGCCCGTGCTACTTGCCCCGCTCCTGTGCCAGGTAAGTCCACTACGGGCTCACCATAGCCCGTGCTACTTGCCCCGCTCCTGTGCCAGGTAAGTTCACTACGGGCTCACCATAGCCCGTGCTACTTGGAACTTGTTCCGTGTAGCTGAATCTAAAACAACCACATACATCACGTGTCATACCTCACGTCAATCACTGACTGCGAACATCAATTACCGACTGCATCTTGCCAATAAAACTCCGCTCAGCTATTTCTTCATTATTTTAAACCACTCTGATGCTACGCTAATTGTGATTGACACTTTTTTTTAACTATAGAGCACCAAATATTTGCTTCAGCAACACTCAAAACCAGCAAATTGGCAATTAAGCTCTGCAAGAAGCGGCGATTGCATACTAGGCCAAGGAGTGCGTTCTGGCAATTAGGTACGATATACATACATACAGATGGAAAGGAATATTCGAAAATAATTCGGCCTGTTAGGCAAATTGTACCTTGCATACTAGGCCAAGTAGACTAGTCCCAGAGCAGGAAAGGAACGAGTTACGAGGAAATACACCAACAAATTAAACCTGACATCTGTGAATGAGAAAGCAGGAGACATGATTACCACATAAAAACTACTCGATGGAATTAATAGGGCAGGTAAGGACAAACTATTTTAAACGGGTGATGGTACACGTTCTCGACAAGAAATACATTGAACGGACTCAAAAGTGAAATAGTGGAGGCAAACTCCATATACAATTTCAAAGTATTTATGACGGCCCAATAGGCTCGGAAACCTGTACCTCTTACCTTTGACGAATAGGGGGCAGAGAGAGAGATCTGTTCATCCTCCACAGGTACAATTAGGATAATAAGCTAAATGAGTAGGCCTACTGTTATCTAGCCCGCCGCAAGGTAGGTCTAACGGCCCACATACAATGACTGGCCGGACCAGCAGCTCGTCTGCTCCAGTTGCCACAACGGGCAGAAAATGGTTGACTAAAACACCCACCTTATCAAACCCTAACCTAACCTAGCGACCCCATGCAAAGAAAACGGGAATATTTGTGAGTGGCCATGGTTTATACTCCATCACATTTTATCCATTGGGGATTCTGCCGTTAAAATGCCTCGTAGATTCCAGAGGACAGGTTGAAAACAGACAATGATTCGCTCCGATGCTCTCACGAATCATAATATGGACCAATAAGATTCCATATTATGATTCTCATGAATCATAATATCGACTTAAAACCAATATGGTTTTAAGTCCATATTATTACCAATAATATGGAGTTAAAACCAATATGGTTTAAGTCCATATTATTACCAATAATATGGAGTTAAAACCAATATGGTTTAAGTCCATATTATTACCAATAATATGGAGTTAAAACCCATATTGTGTGTAACGACTCATCTTGTGAACCAGTATAGAGTAACAGTCAGACTTTAGAGTTGTTTAATATATAATAAAAATATCAGAGCTGGCGTGCGTGCGTGCATGCGTACCCGTATTATCATAGACCACGTGCGCGCCACACCTCTCACTCATGTCTGGTATTTTCCAGTTTTATAAAAAAATTAATTGGATTTTTTTACAAACCATCTGCATTTATTATGTTAGACCTCAGAGGTCCTAAAAAAAGTGAAGAATGACAGGCGTTCAACCTATTCAAGTTATTGTGCACACAAATGGTAGAAATGTCCCGATTTCTGTTCGTGGGTCCTATGGTTGGTTTGGTTAGGGCACGTTGGTATATACAACAGATTAAGGATCCCGGTAGTACCGTCGAGTTTGTTGTCGACGCACAATCCAGAAGTCCGGGTTCGAATCCCGGCCGGGACAGAAATGGTTCGGCACATTTCCTTTCACCTAATGCAACTGTTCACCCTAGTAGAAAGAAGATACTCTATGGGAAATGCTCGCGAGAACGGGCTGGGTGAACGACACTATCTACGGCTGGCAGCTCGTACGGCAGGCAGCACACCACCACCACCACCGGCATCACAACACACAGCTCGTGCAGCTGGCAGCACACCACCACCACCACCGGCAATCACAACACACAGCTCGTGCAGCTGGCAGCACACACCACCACCACCGGTCATCACAACACACAGCTCGTGCAGCTGGCAGCACACACCACCACCACCGGTCATCACAACACACAGCTCGTGCGGCTGGCAGCACACACCACCACCACCACCGGTCATCACAACACACAGCTCGTGCGGCTGGCAGCACACACCACCGGTCACACACCACCTCGGTCATCACAACACACAGCTCGTGCAGCTGGCAGCACACCACCACCACCACCGGCAATCACAACACACAGCTCGTGCGGCTGGCAGCACACCACCACCGGTCATCACAACACACAGCTCGTGCGGCTGGCAGCACACACACACACCACCACCGGTCATCACAACACACAGCTCGTGCGGCTGGCAGCACACACACACACCACCGGCAATCACAACACAGCTCGTGCGGCTGGCAGCACACCACCACCGGTCATGTCATCACAACACACAGCTCGTGCGGCTGGCAGCACACCACCACCACCACCGGTCACCACAACACACAGCTCGTGCGGCTGGCAGCACACACCACCACCACCACCGGTCATCACAACACACAGCTCGTGCGGCTGGCAGCACACACACCACCACCACCGGTCACCACAACACACAGCTCGTGCGGCTGGCAGCACACCACCACCACCACCGGTCATCACAACACACAGCTCGTACGGCTGGCAGCACACACACCACCACCACCACCACCACCACCACCACCGGTCATCACAACACACAGCTCGTGCGGCTGGCAGCACACCACCACCGGTCACCACAACACACAGCTCGTGCGGCTGGCAGCACACCACCACCGGTCATCACAACACACAACTCGTGCGGCTGGCAGCACACCACCACCGGTCATCACAACACACAGCTCGTGCGGCTGGCAGCACACCACCACCGGTCATGTCATCACAACACACAGCTCGTACGGCTGGCAGCACACCACCACCACCACCGGTCACCACAACACACAGCTCGTGCGGGTGGCAGCACACACACCACCACCACCGATCATCACAACACACAGCTTGTGCGGCTGGCAGCACACACACACACCACCACCGGTCATCACAACACACAGCTCGTGCGGCTGGCAGCACACACACACACCACCACCGGTCATCACAACACACAGCTCGTGCGGCTGGCAGCACACACACCACATCACCGGTTAACAACACACAACCTAATGTATTCCATTTAACTACTCTGACATTGAAGAGAAAAATTATAATGTCTCTGCAGCTCATTTGCGTAATAAGTTTCCACCTGTGTCCCCTTGTTCCTGTCCCACCCATGCTAAATAATAAGTTTTTGTCCACCCTGTCAACTGTCCACCCCCATCACTGGGTATTGTGATAGCCGGTGGTGATGTAATGTGATTGAGCTGGAAAAAACCAGCCTAATCTCTGGGTTTTTCTTTAGTTTATTTAGGATTCATTTCCACCTTAGCCATGGAATAGAGATTACAGTCACTCGACGCATGATAACCAGTACCACTTACCAAGAGTCTCTAAGTCTTTAAGTACCCCAGTGTCCAGGATGGATTTTGGGCCATCTTTCACCCCATCACGCTTCTGTAGGAAGGAACAGAGTTACATAGGCGTGGAAATTATATGGTCAAATACAGACATTCAGGACTTGTAGTGGTTAAACTAAACTAAACTGTAGTGGTCACCTTATCCTAATGTACTGAGGCTGTCTATTGTTGCTATGCTCGACTGTCACTTTATCCTAATGTACTGAGGCTGTCTATTGTTGCTATGCACGACTGTCACATTATCCTAATGTACTGAGGTTGTCTATTGTTGCTATGCACGACTGTCACCTTATCCTAATGTACTGAGGCTGTCTATTGTTGCTATGCACGACTGTCACATTATCCTAATGTACTGAGGCTGTCTATTGTTGCTATGCACGGCTGTCACTTTATCCTAATGTACTGAGGCTGTCTATTGTTGCTATGCACGACTGTCACATTATCCTAATGTACTGAGGTTGTCTATTGTTGCTATGCACGACTCACTTTATCCTAATGTACTGAGGCTGTCTATTGTTGCTATGCACGACTGTCACATTATCCTAATGTACTGAGGCTGTCTATTGTTGCTATGCACGGCTGTCACCTTATCCTAATGTACTGAGGCTCTCTATTGTTGCTATGCACGACTGTCACATTATCCTAATGTACTGAGGTTGTCTATTGTTGCTATGCTCGACTGTCACCTTATAATTCTATATTATATAGAATTAATTCTACATCCACAATACATTATCTTAATGTATTGAGGCTGACTATTGCACAATCCATCCATAGTTCCTGTAAGAACTATCATTTTTGATGATTGTATTATGTAATGCAAGAAGGCAACTGGCAAAACTAAGCCATAAATACTAGGCTTCCTACAATGCCTAATAATATTTTAGTATTTTTTTATGAAATAAACTTCATTGCTTTTCAAAATTCGGTTATTAACTGCTTCATATGGAAAATAAACACGCTTAGCACACTCATCCACGAATTAAGAAACAAATTGATACACCAGATATACGTAAAAATTAAATATAAAAATACACAAATTAAGAGATTGTCCTAAGTGAAAGAGGAATACAACAGGCCAAAAATACTTATCCAATAGATGCATTATTAATATAAAAACTGCATTCATACACTAGTCTTGCATATATCATACTTGTATATACTCATTTGGCTATCACAATTATGAAACAACATACTAAATATAAGGTAAGTTAATTATGAAGAAAAAGGGCCATTCCAATACGAATATATATAACTCAGAAGGGCTATGATAATTGATAATTACTTGGAAAGGATATTATATATATTATATATATATGGGACAGGGTGAAGGAAGGGTGCCATGCAAGTCAGCTATATGAAAAAAAATGTAGGAAATATCAAGAAAAGTTGGAGAAACTGACACTAAAAGAATTACCTGTCCCTTGTTGAAGGGTGCAGCGACCACGCCAATGTGGATGTTCCTGTTGGTGGAGGTTGCAGCAGCCAGCCTGGAGGAGGAGGAGCCTAGACGTAGCCCCCGGAGCATGGGGGAGCTGGAGGAGTAGCCTACATGTAGCCCCCGGAGCATGGAGGCAGAGGACGAGTAGCCCACATGTTGATTCCGGAGCATGGAGGCGGCCGAGGAGCCTACACGTTGATTCCGGAGCATGGAGGAGCCTACATGTAGCCCCCGGAGCATGGAAGAGTCTGCATGTAGCCCCCGGAGCATGGAGGAGGCGGAGGAGTAGCCTTCAAGTAGCCCCCGGAGCATGGTGGCGACCCGTCTGCCAGCCAGGGCGACCAGTCCCTACCTAAAGCACAAACTGCTCACTAGGCTCTCGGTCCGCTTGTTGCCACTACTCCTGCCTCCTCAACTATAACCCAGCTCTCCATTATAGAGTAATGCTCTTACCACACCATTACTGGGCGAGTTGGGCCGTCATAGGTGTAGCTAGCGAACAGCATGCAGTTAGCGGATAGGCAAGTTTGCTGTGCTTGGCTATAACAAAAAATATTCCGAGCCATAGCCTGGTCTCGGCCATGTTCAGCCAATCGCCTGCCTCATTACCTGGATGGATCTCTACGTCAACATATTATGGGTTTTATTTAACTATTACGCTATATTTTCAATATAGTGCATATATATATATATATATATATATATATATATATATATATATATATATATATATATTTGTATATATTGTATATGTCAAAAAGCGCAAATGTGGTATTAAACGTGCAGCTGAACCCTTTTTTTCTTAATTTACAAGCTTTGGTATAAAAAGCAATGTGCTCAGATCCACAACCTGTCCTCAGGCTAGGCTCGTCCAGGCGGCAGCCGTCCCCAAAGCACTCGTCAATTTTAATGTATTTAGTATTTTAAACGTTTAATTAACTTTTGTAATATTATTATAATACTAGAATGTGTTGAATAGTTAGGTCCAACTTAGGTTACCTTAGATTCTGTTGGCAATTATTGGTATTTGTACAACCTGTCTTAAGATTGTTTGTTTAAGTGTCTGTCTTAAGTATACTGTCTTAAGTATTTGTTTAACCTGTCTTTAGGTTAGGCTCGTTATAGCTGTGGGTTTCCCTCTCCCCCCCCCCATTCCTCCAAGACGCATTCGTCAATTTGTACGTATTGCGCATTACAAATAAGTTTGTTCTCACATATAAATGAATATTATTATTCATTAAAGTTCAATGAATAGTTAGGCGTTTTGGTTCTGTTGGCGATTATTTGTATTTGACGCATGTGGGTAAAGCTTTACAGACTTGAAGTTCGAACAGATGACGTCAGTGAAGCACTGTTCGAGAAATCTTCGAATATCATCAGTTGTGAGTAGTGTGTAAGCCGCTTTTCATTCATAAACAGGGGGTTTGGCGGCTGGATTATCAAGCTTGTATATTAGTATGCGAGGACGGGCTGAAGGACGAGTTGTGTGTAAACCTGTTATTTTAGATTCAGCTACTCTGAACAAAAAGTTCCAAGCAACACGGGCTATGGTGAGCCCGTCGTACTTACCTGGCACAGGAGATGTGCATGGGATATATATTGTATAAACCGATTTTCATTCATAAACGTAACTTTGGCTAATGTTCGGCGGCTTGATTAGCGGCCATTTGGACTTTGATGATTAGGACAAGTTGTATTTGCAGTACATGGATGAAGCATTTAGGTTATGATTCAAGCAGAGGACGTGAACGAAGCACTGCTTGAGACAAATACATACATCAGTTGCGAGTCGTGTATAGTATTTTTTATTCGTGAACAATTAAGATGTATTTTGGCTGGATTAAAGAACATTTGGGGTTTATTGATGAGGACGGGTGGCCTACGCTATATGAAGTATTACAGAGTATAGCGAATGACTCACCGCAAAGCTAAATAATTTTATATTTTGAGCACTTTCGTGCATCTTCAGAACCTCTGATGATGCCTTCGGCACCTCTGCAAGTGATTTATTATTATTATTATTTTCTACCACAGACGTGGCCACACATTTACAATGCTAACCAACATATATACATTTTCTTCTGTCCCTCCATGGACAGGGTTAGAGATCAGTTAAACATATAGCTCAGGGATTTATTGAACAAACTGCAAGTGAATGATGGAATGGGGGAAAGGGAGATGATGACTTGTAGGTGATGGTTGATGTGGCAAGAAAATATTAGTATTACATCACTAATAAGTTAATAATGTTTTGATATTTATTAGTTTCTTAAAGACTCAATAATATTTAAATTTGTATATATTTATAAAGTAAACAAACTGAATTGTAACTGTACTGTTCTCATTGATGAATTAACAATCCTAATCATTAAAACAATCTTGATAGTTTACTTGAAATGTGAAAGTGATAAGGCATGTAATCCTCATTTCATGTTCATAGAACTAATTGAACTACCTGATCAGAGAGCAGCAACTATTGCTAGGCATCTATTGAGCTGTCTCAATTATCATGGGTTTGATGACTTATATATGAAACAGAACCTTGTAGCATTTTCTAGTGATGAGGCAAGTGTCATGCTAGGGGTCAAATCTAACGTTGCAACAATTCTCAAAGAATATTACCCTGATATAATAATCTGGCACTGTCTTAATCACAGATTAGAACTTGCAGTAGGTGATTCAGCGAGAGAAGTTCGTAGAATTAATCATTTTCAAGCATTTATGGACAAATTGTACCTAGAAGAGTATTGTTTACAGTAGATCCCCTCTAATTCAAAAGGAACTAACTAAATGCGACTCTCAACTTGAACAACAGATTTGCAAAATAGGCCGTGGTGGGTGGCCAACTCATTTCAAACAGTTTCAGCAGTGTGGAAAATTTATAAAGCACTTTGTTTTCATATTGAAAAAGCCGTGAGAGATGAAACAAGATTTGGAAGTGATACATAAACCTATGAAGGTCTGTTGGAAAAGCTAACTTCAGAACAGTTTTTATTGGATTTAGCTCTAATGTATGACACGTTGCATGAACTTGGTTTGCTGTCAGTGTCTACAGAAACTCACTACCTCGATTGTGTATACAAACTGATTCAACGGATCATAAAGTCATTGCAGGGACTGAAGGAGAAACCTAGCACTAGAACTGTAGAAGCTCAAAAGGCAATTGAAATGGGGCAATTTGGAGGAATTACCATAACAAGCAAGCATCAACCCTAAATGATGCTCTTCCTATGTACGAAGCTCAGTGGCCGAAGCTCTTATCACTGTACTATGAGACTAGCCACAATGTCTAACCTACGCTTGAAACAATCAAGGGATCCCGTCTATTATGTTACCCGGTAATTATATTATAATTTATCTCGTAATGTGTATACGTGATAACTGATGTATTAGTATATATGTAATTACAATGTATAATATGGTTATAATTTGTGTACTCTGCAATAGGTCAAAAGTAGCCTAAGTTAATCTATCTCATTAGGATGTATTTTTATTATCCCAACTTAACTGAATTATTAGGATTATATTTTTATTATCCCAACTTAAACTGAATATAAATATTATTGAATTGACTTTAATATAAAATTTCAAAATCATGTAATGTGAATAATTGTAATGGACTATGTTTTACTGGTCCATTTATGGATGGATATACATAGGAGCTGCCTCGTATGGGTCAATAGGCCTTCTGCTGTTTCCTTAATTATTTTCTTATAATTAGGGCCACGTTCTTCGGAATTTACCTGAGGGGCACTAACACTAGTGGCCTCGACGAGGACAGGAAGCCGGCGGTTTCCTGTCAGAGGAAGACTTCCTGTTCTCCTTGATGGAAGGTGCAGTTTGCAGGAAGGGTTTATCCTGCTGTTGACTGCATGAGGTACAAATGTTGAGGATGACAAGGGTTCAAAAGTGTTGTGGTGTACAGGTGTGGCGACTACACAGGTGTGTGTTAGAGGGAGACTTGCCACACTGTGGGGCGGGGTGTTGTGGTGGAGATACAGGTGTGGCGACTACACAGGTGTGTGTTAGAGGGAGACTTGCCACACTGTGGGGCGGGGTGTTGTGTTGTGGTGGAGATACAGGTGTGGAGACTACACAGGTGTGTGTTAGAGGGAGACTTGCCACACTGTGGGGCGGGGTGTTGTGTTGTAGAGGTGTGGCGACTACACAGGTGTGTGTTAGTGGGAGGCTTGCCACACTGTGGGGCGGGGTGTTGTGTTGTGGTGTAGAGGTGTGGCGACTACACAGGTGTGTGTTAGTAGGAGACTTGCCACACTGTGGGGCGGGGTGTTGTGTTGTGGTGTAGAGGTGTGGCGACTACACAGGTGTGTGTTAGTGGGAGACTTGCCACACTGTGGGGCGGGGTGTTGTGGTGTAGAGGTGTGGTGACTACACAGGTGTGTGTTAGTGGGAGACTTGCCACACTGTGGGGCGGGGTGTTGTGTTGTGGTGGAGATACAGGTGTGGCGACTACACAGGTGTGTGTTAGAGGGAGACTTGCCACACTGTGGGGCGGGGTGTTGTGTTGTGGTGGAGATACAGGTGTGGCGACTACACAGGTGTGTGTTAGAGGGAAACTTGCCACACTGTGGGGCGGGGTGTTGTGTTGTGGTGTAGAGGTGTGGCGACTACACAGGTGTGTGTTAGAGGGAAACTTGCCACACTGTGGGGCGGGGTGTTGTGTTGTGGTGGAGATACAGGTGTGGCGACTACACAGGTGTGTGTTAGAGGGAGACTTGCCACACTGTGGGGCGGGGTGTTGTGTTTATGGGGCTGCGACGAGGGAGTTATTTTCTGTGTTTACCTGTTAGTGGCGCCAAATATGAATATGGCGCGCGTCAAATGTGGCCCAATTTCTTGGTGAATTGGAAATATTTAGCCATTGTATTGACTATTTGATATTTTTCATGTAACGAGAGGTCACTTCTTAATATTTACTCGATGGTCAAAGGTATTTTAAGTGCGATAAGTGCATAACAATAATAATAATATCCAAATTAGAGTTTGATGCAGACTTTGGAATGTTCTTTTCCAGTTGTATTGATTTTTTTAGGTTGTTGTTATGTTGTTATAGATTGAGCTACTAAGAACAAAAAGTTCCAAGTAGCACGGGCTATGGTGAGCCCGTAGTGGACTTACCTGGCACAGGAACGGGGCTGTGTTTTAGGAGTTCTATAAAACCAAGGTGGAATAGGGGGAACAGTAAGTTGGGTTTCGGGGTTTTAGAGTAAAGTGAGGTTTATATAAAGATTATTTGTAGCCCGTGTGAGGAAAGGTTGTGAGTGATTGATGGGGAAGCGGAGGTTAAGTGGGCTAACTGTTGTGTTAATTTCAGTAACCATTTTGGGCAAGGTGTGGGGGTGGTAACCGTTGGTTGGTAAAAGTATTACACAGAACTCCATCACGCAGGTATCTACCTAAACAGAAGGATGGGTTGTCCTGTGTTGTTCAGAAGAAATTATCTTAGAGACCTGTCATGGGAATTCCTCAGGAGGGCATTAGGCGATTAAGGCGGGCGCGTCTGGGATCATCTTAGATCCAACCACTTGGGCTGGACGATAGAGCGACGGTCTCGCTTCATGCAGGTCGGCGTTCAATCCCCCGAGACTGTCCACAAGTGGTTGGGCACCATTCCTTTCCCCCTCTCGTCCCATCCTAAATCCTTATCCTGACCCCCCTTTCAAGGGCTTTATAGTCGTAATGGCTTGGTGCTTTCCCTTGATAATTCTCTCTCTCTCTCTCTCTCTCTCTCTCTCTCTCTCTCTCTCTCTCTCTCTCTCTCTCTCTCTCTCTCTCTCTCTCTCTCTCTCTCTCTCTGTGCATGTGCAAAATGTGCAAGTGCTTCATTCATAATAATGTAATACCTCCTTGTATAGTGACTGTTGTGAGCCTCATGTTAATTTACTTGTGATATAAAAAGATTATTGATATGTATATGTTTTAAGACGTGTGGGTGAAACAGAAGCACCATAGGCAATATAATTTATGTATTATATTCAAATATTAGTAATAAAATATTTGCAATTGCTAAATTTACCTATTTATACGGAAATTTGAAAACATACTACTCGGCTTAGACTCGGTTACAAGTATCTCTGGGAATTCTCATTATCTGCTGATGTAGACCTGACCAAATGTAAACTGTGTCAACAAAATTATTCGCACACCCTCCGTCACTATGTGATGGAGTGCGAAAAGATATGTGAATTGAGAGACAATTCTATAACCAATGTTCCAGCAATGTGTAAATATTTCATTCAAAATGATCTGCTACCAGAAATTTTATCCAATTATTCCCAGTTTGCTAACTGTAGGTAATAACTAAATGATTGTAACCTATCCACCGCTGTCCACTGGATGGGGGGCGGTGTGCAGGACAAACATATCAATTGTGACACTAGCTCTCCACATATGTCAGTTGCTTAATATAGAAACTGTACTTGTGGCCGATCTCGAACCCATTGTTGATGTGACCACTTATACTGAATTTTGTAACTTTCATCAAGATTGTAACTTGCTTAGCTAAATGAATAGTGGGGTTCAGTCCCTGAGCCCATTATGTGCCTCTGTAACCCTTTCCACTACCGCCCACAAGATGGGTATGGGGTGCATAATAAATGAACTAAACTCAGGCATAAAGTCAGAGAAATTTATATGTATATGAAAGCGCATTAGGTTACTCACTACACACAAAAATCACAATAGCGTGATGTATCAAATGAAAGAAGTAGAACAGCTTGTTGACAGAGCCCGGGTGCATGAGGGAGTTGTGTAAAACCCCGGTTTGTGTCTCGGAGAGGCTGCGGGATCCGTGTGAGGGCAGTAGCACTCTCAGTGAGAGGCTGCGGGATCCGTGTGAGGGCAGTAGCACTCTCAGTGAGAGGCTGCGGGATCCGTGTGAGGGCAGTAGCACTCTCAGTGAGAGGCTGCGGGATCCGTGTGAGGGCAGTAGCACTCTCAGTGAGAGGCTGCGGGATCCGTGTGAGGGCAGTAGCACTCTCAGTGAGAGGCTGCGGGATCCGTGTGAGGGCAGTAGCACTCTCAGTGAGAGGCTGCGGGATCCGTGTGAGGGCAGTAGCACTCTCAGTTGCAATTCTTTTTACCATGTGGCTCAGTTGACTAAGATTATTAGTCAACTAAGTTATTAGTCGTCTGGTATTATCCCGGACGTAGGTTCGAACCCTGAACACGGCCCTTGTAGATTTGTTCATTAGGCTACTCAGGTTTTTTGGACAATTTGCCTAATTACACTGAATGAGATGATATCAGTGACATGGAACACAATGAAAGTCACGGGGGGATTTTTATTCTTTATTATAGATCCTCTAGTAATTATCAACATAAATAAGTGTTCAAGGTATTAATTATTCTCAACAATAATTCAAAATCAGCTTTTCTAATAACAGACAACAAAGACTTTTCAGGACCAGGTTTACCTCTGGCGACTATCATTACCATAAAAATATATTTTTGAATGAAAAACACTATTATAAAATGTGTACTCAGACATTTCACTATGTTTTACTCAGGGAAAAATTTGGTCATAGTGATTTTATTATGAACAACTATCTTCCCTGCATTATATATATTTTTTTAATTACACTACATTGTAAGTGTTCCCACAGAACAGGCCGTCCTCCTAAGGTTTTCCCCAACGTCAAAAGACTGTCGTGCTAAAGTGTCCTTATCCTATTCTACCAGAGGACCCAAAACAGAAAACGGGAGAGTAGTATGTCAATTATCGCGAGCCTCTTCCATTTTCAAGTACGACAATTTTTGGCCTTAGGTAAGAGTATACGTCAAAATGAGACGTTCTTAGGAGTACGGGTTGGGTGGTTACACATAGCTACCAGTGTTGGAGCTATGTGTCCTGTCCGGAGGGGACAGGTCCTGCCTGGCCCGCGGGGGCCTCTCTGGGGTACTCGCCCCATCTTCATAGCCCAGGAGAGGTTGTCGAGAGAGACTGGAGTAAACTGTATACACTGCAGGATCGCGACGACGGTGTACAGAGGGAATTTTGCGTTTCTTCTCTTCTAACAGTTTACAGTCATCTGTAAGGTTGTCTTTGGAGCCACTGTTGTGAATACTGTGTAGGGACCGCCGCGTGAAGGTGCGGAGTTTGTTTTCAGGACCTCTGGTGCCTAAGGCCTGGGCGTCCCAGGCCAGCACGACGGGGGACTTCACCGCCTTGAGGGAGGCGAAGGGAGGGCCCGGTGGGTACTGTGAGATAGGCAAGAAATACGACTCATATTCTGCCAGAGATGGCTCAATATGGTTGGAAACTTGGCTCTCCTGTGGCTGCTCTGAAGTGGATGGTTTATCAGATCCCTGAGAAAATAAATATACACAAAATCAGATTAATGCTTGCAATTACATCCATATTAATAAGCATTAAATGTTCAAATAATGTAATTAATAATCTTTCAGCATTGAAGCTGATTCAACAGTTCCCATTCGGATTTTATCTTGTTCCTTTGGGAAAAAAAGATCTAATCCAACCTAAGAGATTCCCTTCAATACCAGGAGCTACGTGCCTAAGCTTTTCCTAATAACTATTTACTAATTTAAACACATAGGAGAGGGATGATAAAAATAAAACGCGAATTCGCTAGAAAGACGAATAGAAACATAGTCGATTAAGGCAGTGTCTGGGATGCTCCCGGACGCAGGTTCGAATCCTCGTCACGGCCCTTGTGGATTTGTTCAGAAACATCACATCATAAGTGATGCGAACAAGCCTGAACGGTCTCCAGGCATATATGCAACTGAAAACTCGAACCCCTACTGCCAGAAGCACTCTGCAACCGATGTACAGGACACCATAACCACTCGACCATCACAACCGGACAAAAGAGGATGGTAGCCAAGGCTATTCCCCATCCTCCCGCCGGCACTCTGATGGTAATCTTGGGCATGGTTCTTTATCAAATCACCTCACGAGGAACACGCGAGGAACACAAAT